ATCAGACATTTTTAGCAAATTTAAAAAAAAAATTTTTTTTTTCTAGAAAGATTTTTAATTTAAAAAAAATCATTTTAAACTTTAGATATTGCTTTTTTTTTTTTTTTTATAAAGGTACCTAATTATATTTCAGTTTTATATGAAAATCTGTGTGCAGAATATGAAGCTAGGTAAAGTAATGTTAATGAAGTAATAGCATTTGATTTGTGAAAAATGTTCCAAATGCCAAATTGGAAGCTACTGTTTTTTTTTCTTATATATCCATTTTAATGCTTTTAAAAATTGCTAAGTACAAATTTTGACATTTTAAAAAATAGTTTTTTCACTTAGGCAATAATCATTCGAGTCTTTTTACAGTCAATAACAATGACAGCTGCTGAAAAAGTTATGTAAAAAATGCTAAATTATTTGTAGAATCTGTGTTATCTTGTAAAAAGAAAGTATCTCTTTTTTGTTTTTTGTTAATTATTCTGTTGACTCAGCCTTAATTAAGTCCTTTATTCAGCTTTGTGTTGTATACAATTTACTTCATTGCCTTTTCTTTTTCCTAATTAGTACACTACTACTCCTTTTTGTCTGTCCAGTTTGAAGAAATTCTTATTTGCATCAGTGATCGTCCATTTAAAAGTAAAGAAACTGAAGTCTGTTTTGGAGCACCACATTCCACTCCAGCCACTGACCTCCATACATTCATCTATCCATGAATCTTGATTTCCACTCATTCAGTATCTTCTTAGGCCCATGTGTGTTTTCATTTTTTTTTTTTCTTCTTCTTATCTATCTCTTAATCTTCTTTCTGTCTTTTTAGCACATATAAAATGATGTATAAGAACAGTAGTTTGTTATTTGTCTTGACAGTGGCTGTCTGAAAATCACATTCATGATTGTTTTGGTTACACTCAGAGTTAAGAGAATTTTTTTTCTTTTTAAATTTGACTTTATTTTAAGATTAATTTTTTAAAATTTTATTTAAAAATTTTAAAAATTAAAAAATTGGTGATTAAGTTAAAATTAAAAGGTCTCCCTCTCATTTTTTAAAAACTAAAACAGGTTCCTATTGCTGTTATTTTTTTTTTTTTATGATTTAAATCTAATTTCAGCTTTTTTATTGCTCAAGCAATAAATCTATAATAAATCTGACTTACTACATATCCTATTGGCAGAATGTGTAATCTTGATTCTCACTCAATGTTGATCTGCAAAAATTTAAATGCAATGTCAATTGTTATCTTCTGTCTTAATCCTTTTTCTTTTATTGTCCTATCTCCTTGATAGTAGTTTTTCTTTTTATATATATATATATATATATATATATATATAATTTTTTTTTTCTTTTTCTTTAAGCGTTTCACCCCAAGCAAGGTGGGAAGCCACTAGCACGCAAGGGGTTATAGAGAGTTGGAGTGAGAGCAAAGTGTGATAGAGGAAAGGATGAAAAGAAGGATAGGGGATAGATCAAGGCATCTGGAGACGTTGACTGACATTACATTTGAATAGTTGGAGATTATAGCTATCAGGGAAACAAGAAAAGGGGAGGGAGTTCCACAGGCGAGAAGTGCGAGACATGAAGCTATTGGAGTAGAAGAGACAGCTACATTTAACAGTTTCGACAGTGAAAGGGTGAGAACGGGATGCCAGCCTAGTAGAACGCTTAAATTCATGAAGTCTGGAAACCAGCAAAAGCAGCTCATCGAAGCAGTTACCATGAAAGTATCTGTAAAAAAGACAGAGGGAGGCGACGGCACATCTGTGAGAGAGCGACTGCAGGCGAGATGCCAGATCAGGGCCAGTTACATTGCATATCCATCTCTGGATTTTATCAAGGACCTTGAGACAAACAGAAGGGGCTCCAGACCACATATGGCAGCAATACTCCATGCTAGGGCGACTGGTTGAAGTAGGTAGGGTTGAAGGATTGACTCTGGCGAGAAAAATTTTCCTGGCGATTTTGTTGTGGCGAATGAAGCTATTGACTCAATGTTATCTCAGGTCAGCAGTCAATGTGAGACTGAGCAGTCGCAAAGAGGTGCTCTTGTGGAGTTGAGCATCAGACATTCTAATGGGAGGCAGGGATGGTTCTCTGTGGTGAGCAGTTTTGTTTTTGAGGCGTTAAAGTTAACCAGCCAATTTCTGCCCCAGTCCACAATCGATTGGAGGTCCTTTTCAAGACATGGCCAGGTTAGTTTTGTTAGTGACACTAGATTTGTTTTGAGGCAGGAGTAAATAGTAGTGTCATCCGCATAGATGCCTACTTCGGAACCTATGACATCAGGAAGATCGTTAATGAAGATAAGGAACAGAATAGGGCCTAGAATGGAGCCTTGGGGAACACCTGTGTTCGTGGGATAGGAGCTGGAGGAGAATCCATTGAGAATGACCTTCAATACACAGTTTGACAGAAACAATTGTATTAAGTCAAACAATTGACCTGAAATTCCATAACCCTGAAGCTTGCAATGAAGGCTGGCATGCCAAACCCTATCAAACGCTTTGGAGATATCTAGCTTCTCCGTTATTATGAAGTGCTTGGTAAACAATTTCAGTTATGGCTGTAAGGACATTAGCTTTAGAATGGACAAAGCAGATCATGGGATGTAAGGTGCTTAACCACTTTGGCGTTGATTAAAGCTTTGAAGAATTTGCTGAAGAGTGGTAGGAGACTGATAGGGCGGTAATTAGAAGAGTCTCCAGAGTTCTTAAAGACAGGAACAATGGATGAAGACTTCCAACAAGCTGGAAAACAAGATTTATTGAGGCAGTAGTTATATAATTTGGAGAGGGCAATGGTTGGTATCCAGTCTCCACCACTAGCCTTGTGGGAGTCTAATTTAGAGATAATGCCCAATATCAATGACGGGGTTTATGCAACTCACTCAATAGAGCCTCAGTTGTAAGGGAGAAATCGGGTGTGGGTACACCAGAAGAGTCGAGCGTTGAATTGAATGAGAATTTCCGAGCAAAGCATTCAGCCTTGTCGGTAAAAGAGGTCAGAACCTCAAAGTGGTTGAACAAAGGAGGTATAGAGGGTTTGCTATTGTTAAGTACGTTCTTGCACAGATGCCAATAATCCTTCGAGCTGAATTTGCTGAAATTTAATTTATAATAATTTTTTTTTCATCACCTTTCCCTCAAACATGTGGCACACTATTATGACCAAATTTTTTTGTTTCCTCAGGCCATAGTATTTTTTTTTTTAATTCATCATTATTCTCTTGATATGATCTTTAGTTAATTTGAAATGTGCCTTCAAATGGCAAAACTGCAAAAGTGGAGTTGGTTTGACATTCTTTCAAGAATTCTACTTGAGACACTTTTTTACCTGTAGCTGCTAATTCATCAGTTTTTGTTTTTTTTAGTGGTAACTCTAGGGTCATTCAGTGCAATCCTCACTCTCCTCTGTTCTGGTTCTGAAAATATTTGTTTATGACTTCTTCCGCTTTTGTTAACTAAGGTACTAGTCACTAAAATCTTAATTTATGACATGTACAGTTGTCTTAGGAAGATGATACAGGTAATTTTGTCATACTTGTCACCATTCTTATGACTCTTCCCAACATCATTTTTTAGAGTGACACTGTCTTTTTTCTTTGGAATGATATCAATTGTTATATGAATGAGATACAAATTTGAATTGTCAGTAAATTTTTGGTTTTTTTAAGTCAGCAGTTTTGCATAGAATTTTCTAGACGTTGTATATTAATTAGCTTTACTTAAATATACATATTTTCATATTTTAAAATGAGAAAATTGTAACATTGCCAGTCATTTTTCCCTTACAAAATTTTTGTTTGTTTGGGTTTTATTTAAATAATTTTCAAACCTTTTTGTTGGATGCAGTGCATTCAAAGTAAATTTTTGAAAAATATTGCTTTTGCCTTTTATTTACCATGTTAAATTTAATTTACCCACAAAATTACATGCCAGGCTAAATGATAGCTTCCTCGGCCCTGAGTAATGCAGGTTTGGTTCCTGCTGAAGAGTGCAAATTTTTCTTTTAATAAGATTTCTTGAACATTCAGGCCGGTAGCTGAAAATAAATAAATATTCTGTTTAGTAAATAACTGGAGCACCTAATCAAATATAAGTATCCACTATAATAATGTTTGAAGTAATATATATATATATATATATATATATATATATATATATATATATATATATATACACACACACACACACATTGAATGTGATGGACAAGGAAAATTTTATTATTATTATTATTTTTTATTTTTTTTTTTTTTTCAGTTTTTCTGATGTTCTTACTGTTTTCCTTGCCTAAGAGTGTAAAAACTGTCTGTAGTGGTTATTGTTCCAAACCCTTTCAGCCAATTCATTAGCCATTTTCAAGACAACCACTCATCCTCAACATGGAATTACTGGTACTCCCATCCAGTGTAGCCTAGAATTAGTTGTATTTCTATACAACTTAGAACATAAACACAGGGAAATATACTAACAATGAACCACTTGAAAACTGCAAATGGATTGGCTGAACACACTGAAGCAATAATCACTATGGACAATTTCTATATTCTCTTAGTCCCCATAAAAGAAAAACTGAATAAAAAAAAAAAAAAAAACTTTGTAAAATTTTTCCTTTTCCATCACATTCAATGAAACAGGTATAAAAGAAAGATTGCTATCCAAATATATATATATATATATATATATTTTTTTTGCTCAGTGTAAGCAATCTAGGCATCAAGCACTTTACTGAGTTAGTAAGTTTACCTTTAGGCCCTTTCCTCTTTCATTTTCAGTATCAATGTTTTTTATTTGAGACTATTTGGATAAGAGCTTTACATTTTAACAAGTTGTCTGATTCCATCAACAGTGTGTGTATATATATATATATATATATATATATATATATATATATATATATATATATATATAAAAGTAAGGTGTACCCAGGACTACCCTCTTGGCATCCCTGTAGGATCCAGTGCAAAGGTAGTGTTTGGGATGATTGGTAGTAAGGGGAGGATCCATTGCAATGAATGGTCCCTCCAAGCTTAGATGCTCAGACTGTTATGCCCAGCCAGTTTGAATTCAGATGACTTCTTTTGAATTGGTTGTCATCCAAAGCTAGAGAGATCAATCTGTTCAGCTATTTAAACACAAGCTGAAGAGTATAGAATCTCTGTGTGTGTGTGTTTTTTTTTTTTTAGGGCATTAACGTGATGTTAACACAATTGATTGGTATTGTAACCCTTCATGTCAATTCCACTTTGATATCTACACTGTCTACGCATTGGAAGAAGACTAACATGCAGGATTCTTTGTTATTTAAAAGCAATTTTATTCATGTGAACAAAAGGTGGTAGAAAGAATGAGTTCCATGATCAACATGGTTAAAATGACATCCATGAAAGATGGATTTCCTAGATATGATTTCAGGGCCATTTAGAAGCTACTTTTTTAATTTTATGTTTGAGTACACAAAGAGTTAATCAATCAATCAATTGAGAGAGAGAGAGAGAGAAAAAAAAAGTAACCAGATGAAGTAAAACTTTATATATATTTATTTATATTTTTTAAATTATTTGTGGATTGATAAGGTACTAAAAAAATTGCTGCATCCAATTCAATCGTATTATGAATAGAAGATTAAGCTTTGATTGATCTTGACAGGGTTAAGATGAATTGCAGTAATTATTATTCAAAAATAATTTCAAGACAGGTGTCTTTTTTTTATTATGCAGGTAAAAACATACATCTACAAACAAGCACTTATTAATGGCTCAGTATTGCACAAAATCATTTGTGGAGAAAATAAAAGTAAATTGTGTTGCAATGTTCAAAGTACAGAGGGTTTGCTTTAAAAATCATCTGATCCATTTCTGTCTCTATGCCTGGGTTTAAACCCTGTTTTGAAAATCATTTGTGATCCATTTCCACTTCTGTCTCTGGGTTCAAAACCCATTTTAAAAACCCTCTAATCCATTTCTGATTTCCTATCTAGGTTCCAACTTTGAAAATCATCCATGATACATTTCTGTCTACGTACCTGGGTTCTGACCCCGCTTTGAAAATCATCCATAATACATTTCCGCCTGCAATCATCTCAGTCCTGTATGAAGGTCCAATGGTATTCTGGATTCACTTCTCTTGCAGACTTCTTCAAATTTTAGTTTAAAATATCAATATACTTATGATACCATCAGCTCCAACTAAGCCTCTAGGACCCTGTTTTTGCAAAACCACCCCAGAACATTAAACTATCACATTTATGTTTCATGATCCATTTCCATCTCTGTACATGGTTTCCAACCCTATTTTGAAAATCATCTGTGATCTACTTTTGTCTTCATACCTGGATTCAAGTCCGGATGCTAGTGGGAAATCTGCAACTGTTTTGGATAACAGGCAGAGAGCACACACACACACATATATATATATATATATATATATATATATATATATATATATATATGTGCATTTGATACAATATTTACTAGTTCATGTGATGCACATTTTAAAAATTATTTAAATGACACTGTATTAAGTACCTTTATATTGTGGAGAAGAGACTAAGCACTAAAGGCTTATGATGTATGCCCTACAGAGTCAGAATGAGTTTTACAAAATAATTTTTTTTTTTTATTATTTATTTTTAAGGCTTTAAAAAAAAACAAAAAAAAATCTCTACATTTTGTCTAGCAGAGACAGTAAATTCTTCATTGCTTAAATGAATTCAGTAAATCATTCTTTTAATTTGCAGGGTAAGGTCTAGCTTAGGCCTGCTACTGGTAACATGTAACCTAGTACAACTTGCCACGTAGAGTAGTGGTTGGCATCTAAACCAGCTCTCCCACCAGCTTTTCTGCTGGTGAGGAGGGTGGCATTTTACTGCACAGGACGAAAAACAAGACCCATCAGAGAGCAGATGAACTCATATCAGTCAATGACAAAACTGTGTGCATATATATATATATATATATATATATAAACTTAGGATGGGGTCTCAAGTCAACCTTCCTCCTAGAGATAATGTCTTGATAAAAAACAGTGTACTAGAACAACCATTAGTTGGATGTCAGGAAGAGCATTGTAAAAGCTTGCCTCAAATTATTTTGACATATCTCAGTCTTGTTGATGTAAACTGAGATCCTCTGTCAGACAGGACCCACCTTTGTGCAATAATCAATCCCGATCCTGCCTCAACAACAGCAAAAAAAAAAACCCACCTCTATGATGATTATGAAGAATTCGGTTGAAATAGAAGTTCAATAATTATTCATATAGTAACTTTATTTTGTCATTAGTTCTCACTTTGTTTACTGACTCTAATGACATTTCCTTAATTTCAATGCACAAGAGACAAACTGAATGCTGCAACTTGGTAAAACAAATTTTAAATAAAAAGAAAAAATGAACATTTAGTCAAATTAATTTCTCTGCTGCCAGAAATATTTAGCTTTTGTTAGTGCAGAAAATGACTGGAAATAAACCAAAGAGAGAGAGAGAGAGAGAGAGAGAGAGATGGAGTAGCAGTAAGATCAGTGGGCAGTAATAAGAAAAATTGAAATATTGCTCATATAGACCAGGTTCAAATGTAATTTGGTGTCATTTGTGTTTAAATACAATTCTGGTTATAGCTTCATTATTTCCTCTACTGCTAGAATTTAATTGGTAATTAATTGTGTAATGAATGAACTTTTTGACATCCTTGTTAAATAAATTGTACTCAAGATATCAAAAGTTACACGAATATCATTTTTATTGAAGTAACTTTACATGAAATGATATTTTATTCAACAGCAAAAGAAAAAAATAAAAGTAAAAATTAATTTCTTAAAAAAATACTTTCAGTAAAATATCAAATCTATATAATAAATTAACCTGAAAAATTCACTAGTCTTTACTAAGCTTCATTTAGTTTGACACAACACTAAATACAAAGTTTGGAAGATTGTATTACATCAGTCTGTCATTAAAAATCTTTTGAAACCTCAGGCTTTTTAATTTCATTCAAATATATCAGTGAGTGTCACCTAGATAAAAAATACACAAGACTCTTACACCTACTAAGCAGGCATACATATTATATACACCTACTAAGCAGGCATACATATTATATACACCTACTAAGCAGGCATACATATTATATACACCTACTAAGCAGGCATACATATTATATACACCTACTAAGTAGGCATACATATTATATACACCTACTAAGTAGGCATACATATTATAGGTGGTATTTTTACATCAATTTTTAATTTATGCATGTTTGTTTTGAAGACCAACAAAAGTTCTTAAAGATTTGAAAATGAAATTTTCTTTGGTTTAAATCATTTTTCTGGTTGCCTAAGAGAATTTGAAAATTGTCTAAAGTCTTCTGAGCACTTTCAGTTTTCATAATCCATCCGCCAACAATTTTTATTGGTTTTAGGGTTTGGTCTTTTGGGATAAATTGTGTTGGGTGGCTTTTTAGGGTCATATTAGAGGATGTCCTGCAAAGACTTGAAAAAAAAAATCAAACATGATGCTTGAAGTTATGATACTTGGGAGATACTAAACAAACCCAATGCATCTGTATAGACACAACCCAATTGGTAAAGAAAAATTCTTTGATTTTGGCCAATAAAAGCTGAAATGCTTTGTTAATACTCAAATTCTCATTAGCAGTCAGAAAATTTTCAAAACTAAAAGGAAAGAATAAAGAAATCTTAAATGGAGAACTTTGGTTGAAATAAATATATATATATATATATATATATATATATATATATATATATATACACACTTCAACATGTGTTAAATTCAATTGACAAAGTCTGTTTTATTTTTTATTGTATATTTGTATTTGAAATGTAATTTTTCAAGAAAAAAAACCCCACAAGATATGTGTATATAGCTAAAATCCCTTGCCTGCAATATTGACACTGTTTAATTTCTTATAATGACTGAGACTGTCAAAAGTACTTAAACAAAGACAAAACAAAAATTGGAACTTTGAACAGTTTATCCACAATTTTCATTCCAATATGAACCAACTTATAAAATTAGAAAAAAATAATCAAAGATTAAATAGACAGACCAAGTCAGTTGAGTTTAATACGACTTGTTTAGGAAATAATGTTTGATAAAAAGTCCATTGATTCTTTAGAAATTACTGTGTTTATGATTTGGATATGTATAAAAGGAACGGATATGGGCTTTCAAGAGGGATATATGCATTCTTCAAAAGGGTAACTGAATCTTGCTGGGCTGAGGCCAGCTAGTTGAAAGCACATGAGATCATATGGTAGGTTTCTACTTCAAAGAGGAATAAAGATTTCAACCCAGTCTGAGAGCATATTTTCTTTATTAAATCTCTCAATTGCTCTGACTAGTAAATGCAATTCACATGGTTGAATAAAAGAAACACAACAAAAATAAACAGTGCATCTACTCAAAAATAGGTATCTACAAAATAACATTTATAATGGTAGGAAATATATATGTGTGTATGTATGTATAATATATATATATATATATATATAAGGGGACAAATTGGAAAAGCTTTTTAACAATGCATTTTGCTGATGACTTTTATTAGGTTTGGCATCTTTAGATTGGAATGAAAGAGAAAACTGAAAGGAAAATGTGTTGGTATTTTTGAGGATAAGAGGGGGCAATAAATTAAATTACCTTATCGGATCTGATGACCAGAAGGTGTAAGATATATATATATATAATACATAAAAGGTTAATGGCCAGATTTGAATCAGACCGGGTAACAATAATATACATGTGTTAAAAAAGTAAAGGTAAAAATAACAGGTACAGCTTTAAACTTGAAAAATTAGGAGGTTAGCTAGAATATGCGACCTTGGTTTTGACCTCATGGTATCATCAGGCTAATTCTATCAACTGACCATCCAATGCTTTATTTTTAAAAACCCCACAAAGAACACTTTATTTATTATTGAAAAATAATAATATAAACAAATGCATGATGATCAAATGCACAATGTTGAATGTGATAGAAAGGAGGGGGGGTAAGGAAGCAGAGTAAGTAGAAAAAGAAGATGGGTGAAGAGAACAAGAGAAAAGAAAGCATGTTGCAAATGTATAAAGAAAAGAAGTAGAAAAGCAACTGTAATGTAAATATAAGGGAGGGTGTCTTGTAAATATAAGGAGGATATGGCAGGTGGGGAAGCAATCATATTGTAAAATGCATTGGGTACAGTAAAGTATTTTAGCAATATTGACTAATATTTGCCTTATGTTGATAGTTGCATTTTGGTTGTTCGTGATTTGCTGGTCGATGTGTGCATAGATTTCAGTGAGTTGTGACAGGTCAATCTGCAAGAGAGTGTGATGCATGTGTGCCCAATGTAAGGTTGGAGATATATTAGAGCTGTTAGTGTTTGTTTAAATCAGTCCACTACAAGTAGATTTTTCTTCTACTATTTCTTCTCAACAAATATACTGCATTGTTTTACTATTGATTTTGTGATGATCAATGATATTATGTAAGGTCCTGGTCTTTGGTTTATTGTTGTTTATTAGATTAGCACACACTCAATGGATTTTTTTAGTGAATCTTTTTCTCTACTGATCAGGTGGGCATTTATTAAGTTGAAATTGTGACCAGATATATTATGGTGAAGTAGCAGTGCTTTAAAGGTGCTGTGTGTCATATCTCTGCAATACTTGTATATTTTTTTTATTTTTTTAGGTTGCTGGATATTTCATTGATGTACCCTGTGTATGTTACTGCATATGTCTTATTGTTACTGTTTTATTTGATGTGTTCTTGAAAAGCTTTTCTACTTTTGTTTTGCATACTATTATGTCTTAGCGCGCATATATATATATATATATATATATATATATATATATATATTTGTGTATGTATTGAGTACTCTATTTAAGCTTTGTTACTTGGGTTTTTTTTTCTTTGGACTGGAAACTTAAGGCATTGGATGATTTTTTTTTTGCCCTGTTTGGACGTTTCTAGTTCTTTCTTTCTTTTCCTCTGATTTGATATACTTGCAAGTTGTGCTATCTGAGGTTTTTTACCAACTGAGTATTATTATTATTAGTAGTATAATAATATATGTGCAGCAACCTTTCTTTTAAACATCTTTCATTAAGTATGGCAGACAAGGGAGATTTAATTAATTTTTATTCAGTTTTTCAGCATCCTTATGTTTTTCCATTTTGTAGGAGGAGTCAGGGAGTATAGAAATTTTCCATAATTTTCATTGTCCCAAGTGCTTTTGGCCACTTTAGTCATTTTCAAGGGGTTTTTGCTTTTGGTGGTGTTAGATTTTTTTCCCTGCAGTAGGTTGCCATTTCTTTCTGTGGTAGACCAGTTGCCATCCAAGGCTATAGAACCCGGTCTGTCCTGCTATTTAACTATATCTGGGAGGAGAAGAAGAGGATTCATACCTTTCCCAAGTATATTAGCACGTAAGTGAATGTAATGGATTCGACTGGAATTCAAACTCGGTTCTCCGATTCCTCAATCAGAGCCACTATCCATTACTCCACTGCGTTTCACTAAAATCATTATTATCTCAAAAAAAAAAAAAATCTTACAATGTAAAAATATTTTTTTAAAATAACCTGCATATGTTTGATAAGCCATAGAAAATAAATCAATTATCACATGTTACTTGGAGAGGAGATAACCTCTACAAAATAAAACCTCAACTTTTTCTTTGAGATACTAGGAAGGACACAGTATGATATCATACAAGTGCAGTGAGGTCAAAGATACTTTTGTTACTAATACTATTTGATCTAGAACTTTCTCATGTTGTTTGGGAAGAAATTAGCCATTACCAAGTAAATCCTTAGCCTTGTCCTAGAAATGCAACAAAGATACCTTGAATTCTTAGGTTTTGAGACCAACCAAAAAAGAAATAATACCTGATCTTTAAAACATTATTTCTGAGAAACAATTTGAAGAAAACTGAAAGTGGGTACACAAGATAAAAAAAAAATTATTTAAATGCAATATTTGATTTTTAAAATAACTTTTCCAGATATCTTTTTTAACTCTGCAGTTTTTTCCAAGAAAATTTTAAATTTATTCTTGCAACTTTCTTAATTAAAATGGTACAATAGTTAATATTATTTTCTCAGTATATGAATAATTTCTTTTGTATTTTGAAATCAATCAGTTAGTCAATAAGTTACATAATCTTGAAGAGATCTTTGTGCATTTCTTGTCTACACATTTCTTCCTGTTCAAGGCAAACTTTCAAGTGTCAGAAGTGTCATTTCAGTGTCCTCTCTGATTTAGCTGTTCTATCTCTTAGATGATCTGCCATGTGATCTTTTGCATGGAAATCTGTCTTTGTTCACCTTTTCTAATTAAATGGCTAAACCCAGTTTAGCCTCTTATTTTTTTTTTATAAGTTTAATTTTGTCAGTCTTCTCATTTAGCTTTTTCTTTATGACAGCCATTTTGATTCTGTCTGATATTTTCCCCAACCATGACACTGAAGCAGTTGTTTTCAAATACTTTTATGTCCTATTTTCTTAGGCATAAATTGTTATAGGGATAATAAGAGCATAGTAAAGTCTGATCTTGATATAGTATGTAATGTCTTTTTTGTTCCAGATTCTTTTCCTACAGTCTCTTAAAAGTCTCTGAGGTAAGTGCTGTATCATCAGATATAAACTGGAACAACTGATCATAGAAAGATTTTCAATACTTTCACCATCTATCATCATGTTATTATTTTTGTTCTTACTTATACAAAGGACAGTTTAAAAAATGATAAACTGACATGGAAGATTTTGTCACAATATGAGGCAGGTAATTGTAAATTAAAATGTTTTGATAAAAACTTAGAAAACTTTAAAAACTTAATTGATATGTGCTTATATTCTTTAAATAGAAAATGAATGTATAGGGAACAATTCCAAATAATTTACCCAAAATGTTTAAAAAAATCATTGTTTTTTTTTTAAAAAATTAAAAAGTAAAATTTAACTAATGTGTTTTTGTATTTAATCATTTTTAAAACTTTAATATTTTAGCTTTTTCAATGTATTAAACATTTTAATGGTGTTTTTATTGTACTAACAGCAATTATAAATGATCAATATACATTTTCATTTTGCTACCATCATTTTGATAAACTGTTTATTGCGGGCACAAAGGTTAAAGATTGCCAATTTTTTTTTTGTCTGGAGATGGTGACGGAGGTGCCCTTTTCCTCAAACACTTAATATTATCTTCTTTGAGGGTATTAGGAATTCCCATGTGTCCTAAATATGATATACCATGGACTGTACCAGTGTACCTTAGCTCTCTTAGGGAAGTTACAAGTAAGTTTTTATTGGTTTCCTTCACATACTCTTTGCTTTTTTATGTATTTTAATTTTTCTGTGTGGGGGCAGTCAATTTGTAGTCTGTTTGTCTATCTATCAATCTGTCTATCTATCTATCAATCTGTCTATCTATCTGTCTGTCTATCTATCTGTCAATCTGTCTGTCTATCTATCTGTCAATCTGTCTGTCTATCTATCTGTCTATCAATCTGTCTATCTATCTGCCTATCAATCTATCAATCTGTCTATCTATCTGCCTATCAATCTATCAATCTGTCTATCTATCTGCCTATCAATCTATCAATCTGTCTGTCTGTCAATCAATCTATCAATCTGTCTGTCTGTCAATCAATCTATCAATCTGTCTGTCTGTCAATCAATCTATCAATCTGTCTGTCTGTCAATCTATCTATCTGTCTGTCTGTCTATCAATCTATCTGTCTATCAATCTATCTATCTGTCTGTCTATCTATCTGTCTATCTATCAATCTATCTGTCTATCAATCTATCTATCTGTCTGTCTGTCTATCAATCTATCTGTCTATCTGTCTGTCTGTCTATCAATCAATCTATCTATAAATAAATAAATAAATAATATTTTTATTACTTTAAATGTTATTTTTAGTGAATAGCTTTATTTGAATATAAAGTATATATTCAATCTACCGGCTTCCTTACTCAAGAAAACTTAATAAAGAAAATGTACCATCTGACAGCATTTGAAACTGTATCTCCCTTTGTAGGAGGAACCACCATCTGATCCAACATGCTTTTACCACTCGGCTACAAAAAGCTTCACAATCAAGCAATGTTCTATTTTTCCTTTAAAACACACTGACTCATTCAGATTTTCCCAAAAAACATATTTGCTCAGTTTTGTATCTGAAACACAAACAAAGCAATTTCTTTTTTTTTTTTTTAATCCAATATATTTTTACTACTTAGTATGGCTTATATTTGTGTACTTCAATGTCATATATAAAATGTTTTCATGTATAATTAACCTTTTGGAATTTTTTTCTTTGTCCTTCTTTTCAATTGTGTTGAGGTGTTAGTATATCATGGATATACTAATACCTATAGTGAACTTTGGCACATGGAGAACCAACATATTTCCTCTCTCTTTACAAGTATCCCATTATGGACACTTGACACTCGTTTATTTGGGAATAACTCTTTTTTTTTTCCATAACAGCTAAATCTCAAGTGTCCAATTTTTATCACTTGTTCAATCTTTGTTTTGTATCAAGACTGGATCTGTTTATTTGACAATGTTTTTATTTTCAACCTCTTATTATTATTATTATTATTTAAATTAACAGTTATCTTAAACACAGATGTGTGAGGGGGGGAATGAAAAAATAAAAGGTTAAATATTATCTGGGTATATTTAGATAGGAACCAAGTTAAATATTTAACTTAGGTATGCAAATGTAAAATAATCACTAGCCTACATTGATTGTGCCACATTGTGCAATAAATCATCTTTTTACCTAATAAATCAAATGAATATTTTAGTCACCTAATCTTTTTTAAGTAAGCTTTTATCTATGAGGGTAAGTCAAAAATTATCTGCACTTTCGCCATAACATATCTTTAGATTTGTCACATTGCCTTTCATTCATGCGTGCTTCTAGTTGGTACTATTGTGGTTCCGTGATCGAAGTTTGAGCTTTGTTCTCCCTTGATGCACACTGCTAGCAGAGTGGCCATGTTTACACTGTAAAAGCAGCAAGAAAACTGGTGTGATCAAGCTCAAACTCCAATCAGTATATCAATGGGATATATTAATAGAGCATCATCAGTATATTGGAAGTATGTTGATTGTTTAGGTAAAATGTTTTGAAAAGGACCAGATTTGAGAAATTCTAAGAAAATACATGCCATCACTTAACTAAGAGGTGATCCCATTGGTAATCCAAATTTTTGTTTATAAAAATTATTGTTAAATGTGAAATACTATTGATTGGTGATGAGGAGGCAGCTATTTATTATTTTAACTATTGGTAGGGAGAGATTTGTATTTGTGTTAGATGCTATTTAAGAGATTTAAGCATTTTTTAACTGCAACATTGGTGTAAAGAGATGTTTTATTTAAACTGACCATGAGTTTGTCAGTCATATTTATTTCTTTTAGTTTTTCAACTTCTTTTATGTGCCATGTCCCTTCAGGACGTAGTCGATCATGGCCCTCCACATCTTCCTGCCCATTGTAGCTCTTAATAAGTTTTGTCTTTTTGTTATTTCTTCCAAACCCTGTTCTGCCATCCATTTGCTCCAGCCCATCAAGTATGTTACACACTGCTTTCCTCTGTCCCTCCTTCCCACTATCTGTCCTGTTAGTATCGGATTTTCAAAGCACTCCTTCCTTATTATGTGTTCTAGAAATTTCAGTTGCCTTTTCCTGACATTAAATATGTTTCATTTTGTTTGTTGCCTGAATTTTTTTTTATATGTGATGGACTGATTGTTCCAAGTATAGGGGTTCAAATTTTAGTTTGAAACGACATAAAGTAGAGAATTGGTTATTATTAATTTTATATATGGAAAGTTTGTGTTCCCAGACCCTCAAAATAAACTGTATCCGCCTGTTTGATGTAGATGGTTAAGATAACTCACCTGCTGTAACTGATGTCTTGAAATACATATACATGCTTGACTGCTTAGTCTCATATAATTTTCTATCAAGAATTTCTTTGAAGGTATTCAAAATAGCATCTAAACCTGCCCTAAATCTATGCTCTTAATTAAAAAAATGGACATCATACATGGACAATCATTGCAGCACTGTCAATCATGGTTATTTTTATTTTATTTTTCAATATAATGTCCATCCAAAATGGAGGTGGTCATCTTGAGAAAGAAAGTGTAGTAGCATCACATTGCCTCTCCATGATTTGGAATTCAGTTTTTCTTCTCTTACATTGGTTGCAACCTAGGTCTGGTCTATACTTTGACTCAGCTGGGGAGAGAAAGGATGGATTCATGTCTTTTCTAAGGGCATTTGGGTGAAAGTGAATACAACAGATGAAATTGGAATTCATATGTGTTCTTTTTTATGTTTTTAGTCTAAGATCATTAAAAAAAGATCTCATATAAATTAATGGCAATTACTCCTTTACTTGACACAATTATTAATACTTATGAAACTTTTGATTTGTATTTACAACTGCTTATTCAAACAGAAATACAATAAAAAATGAAACAGACAGACCTTGATGGTTGAATTTAACAAAACTTGTTTAAGTGAATTCTTGATGCTTATATATATATATATATATATATATATATATATATATATATATAATATTAATGCTCTGTAAATTTACATTGAGCACTATTTTGTAAAAATAAAAATATCTATAAGAACACTGGATTATATATCTTATTGTTCTTTCTTTATATATATATATATATATATATATATATATATATATAATGTGATGGTATTGAACTCTCCCAATAATTTTGATCTATAAGGATCTGAAAACCGTATTCATTTCTTATGTTTGTGGTGTTGTATGTGACACTTCAGGCCAGCTAGTAAACAGCACACAAGTCCACATATTGTGCAACAGTGAGGATCTCAGTACATAGCAACAGGAATATTTGCTGACACTTTTCACTGTTGTCTTTTGTCTCTTAGCCAGTCAATACGAGTGATGTTGAAATTTCTGGTACCATTCTGGTACAAATATGTCCAATTATTTCTATCCAGGGCAAATATATATATGTGAATACAAGGGAGTGTTGAAAAGTTATTGAGGATTATAATTTTTCAGCACCCCTTCATCTATTCATGATACAGGTAGCATCTATCATTAAACAAATCCCCAAAACTTGTCATCCTCATTAATTTTTATATATATATATATATATATATATATATATATATATAAGCAAAAGTAAAAGATTTTCAAGAAATTAAAAGAAAACTATCTTTGAATACAAAAAAAGATCTTATATACAACAATTTATGTAATGCATTACTCATACATAGAAATAAATTCAACCACAGCTTGATCTAAAGAATGCCAAACTCATTAAAAGAGAAAGTAACTTACTTAGAGTAATTCTTGAGAGTGCTGATATTGAATCTTATCAAAATATAAATCTGTGCCCTGGATTTTCTCAAATATCTCCATTCCTGAAAGAAATACTTCCTTCCCAAACCAACATACATGATTATAAAAATGTTAACAAATTGAAAAAAAATTGTTAACTTCATAACCTCCTGTTATTTAAAAAAACTATACAATACATAAATTTATCCTATACTAAAATAGTTTAAATATTAAATGCTTAAAATCAATAAACAACATCATCATTTTCGGTCAACTTGATGAGCATTTATGAGCATCTTTTAAATTTAAAAATTTTGAAAAGCTAACAACATTTTTACTTTAGTTTATAAATACTTGTTGCATAATAAAATCCTCACATTTGCCTTCATAAAGTACGTCAGGACGAAATGCGTGGGTTAAGTTTTCCTTTTGTTTCTATTCATATTGCCTTTTTAAAGATATATATCTGCCATTATACCTGCTTTGATAAAGTCTCTCATAGGACGAAATGTGTTGGCTAAGATTAATCTTCCTTTTGTCTTTATTCATATTGTCCTTTTACAGATATATTGTAGCTATATCTGAAATTTTTACACTCACACACACACACACACACACTAATTTTTCATTTTGTTTTCTTTGTCTTATCAACCTTTTGCAGCTTATTTAAAACCAGAAAATATTTTTAGATTGTAAGAATTTGGGGGAGATAATAATGATTTACTGGTACAAGTCTTACTTAATTAACTCCTAGTTGGATGGAGAAAAGATGGATTCATACCTTTCCCAAGAGTATTTGTGCATAAGTGAATATAAAGAACCCAAATGGAATTTGAACCCTGCTCTCTAATTTCCAATTCCGAGCCATTATCCATTTCACCAGCTGCCCATTCAAGCTTACAGCATCTCGTATTCCCAAGTCGTCACCCATTTAGGTACTGACCAGTCTTGACTTTATTTAACTTTGGTGATCATACGAGAATTGGTGTTTCAATTGGATTTGGCTGTAATCCTATATGAATTGTGAAAGAGTAAAACCTGATATTTGAAGCATGTAGATTCAAAAAATTTCCTCACTTATGAGAAATCAAGTTGAGTTTGTTACATTCATTTATGTGCAAATACCCTTGTGAAAGTTTTGAATATATCTCTTTCTTTAAGCTATGGGTTAAAAAAGAAGAACTTGTATCTGCAAAAATCATTCTTATTCTCAAAAAATTGATAATGCAATATTCACTTGTGAAAAAGTTTTTTTTAGTCCAAAATATTTCTGATTTAAATAACTCACAAAGGGTTGATAAACTGTAAAAAAAACAAACAAATCAATCAATCCCTCACCTATTACCAGATGTAGACAATGTGATTGTCATTTATATATTTAGGGATGTTAGGAAAATTAATGATAAAGTGGAAAAAAAAATTTAGTGCAATGAATTTCATCCTTTAGAACTTCATCAGACTAAAGTGATGTTTATGTTGATGTAACTGCAGATCTGCACAAAGATGAGTGATAAA